TGTCTACATAAGGTGGCAGCGGTGGGATACTATGAAAAGAGATATATCACAACACATTGCTAAGTGTTTATCATGTGCTCAGCATAAGGGTACTACTTTGCCACTGACTCCAATTCTCCAATACCCTACACCGGAACATCCGTTTGACACAGTCACCATCAACTTGTTACAACTTCCGAGGAGTCATTGAGGATCCTTGTACGTTCAAAGGAGTGTTAGTTACAAGACTAGCGAGGTCATCCTAAAACTGTATCTTGCTCTTGTGAGACCACACCTGGACTACGCAGTTCAGTTCTGGTCACCGTATTACAGAATGGATATAGAATCCTTGGAAAGAATTCAGAGGAGAATGACAAGACTAATCCCGGGCATTAGGAACCTTGAATATAGAGACAGGCTAAAGCATCTTAATTTGCACTCGCTCGAGAGACGTAGAGCGAGGGGCGACCTGATAGAGGTGTATAAGTGGAAGGCAGGGCTAAACAAAGGGGACATTACAAAGGTACTCAAACTATCCAACCAGGAGCGAACTCGTAACAATGGTTTTAAATTAGATAAATTTAGATTTAGGCGTGAAATCGGTAAACACTGGTTTGGAAACAGAGTAGTGGATGAATGGAACAAGTTACCAAATATCATCATTAGCTCGAATACGCTGAATAGCTTCAAACATAGGTTGGATGCTTATATGAGCAATAGGGGTTGGGTGTAAACGGGACTGCCCAGTATGGGCCAATAGGCCCGCTGCAGTTTCCTCCATTCTTATGTTCTTATGTTCTTAGTGTGTGTGTGTGGATCTTTTTCTAGATTTGTAATTTTAGTCCCACTCAAGGCTAAAACAGCCGAATCTGTGGCTCACGCCTAGTGATGCATCTTATATGTCCTTTTACTACTCCCAAGGTTCTTTTCTCCGGCAACGGATTAGAGTTCAAGAACCAACTTTTAGCACAAATATGTCGACAATACGGCATCCAACAAAGCTTCATAACAGCTAATCATCCACAGGCAAATGGCCTCATTGAAAGAACCAATCGTAAAATCCTGGAGATACTTCGTCCAATAGTGAGTCAAATGCATAATACATGGGAAGATTGGTAACCTCAAGAGGCAGCCTCTATTAACGGGTCGATCAATAGCTCCACGAGCAAATCACCCTACTACATTGCTTATGGCATAGACAAATGTCTGCCCTATGACATACAGGCAAGCCAGGCCCTGTCTACAATGTGGACGATTTCGATACCAAGCAAATCGGTGTTTTCATTGATATTGATGGCCAAGTACAGGAACATTTAACAGTGTCACGTGCTGAAATAATTTATATGCAACATAAACTGGTTGAGTCTACAACACTAGAAATAGGCGATACTGTTTTGGTAAGTGAACCTGAACAGAATTTCAATTTTTCACCCAAATTTGCCGGACCATCCCGCATTATTGCCAAAGAAGCGGGCAACAAATTTTAAATTTTGAAACCAAATTCACATACTTCAGACGTAGTACATGTGGACAGACTAAAAAGGGCCCACCCAGATTTCCTCCCCTGGAATGTTAACGATGTCCCAGCCTTTTCTAGAATGGCTTGGATCATCGTAATACTATTCCTACTCTTTTGTGACACCACCGTGTCGACGGACACGCCCACGGAATTCCTGAAACCAGGTGCCTTAGCCATACTTTTGGGACGTGACCATAAAGTATGAGCTGCACTGTTTACTAAATATTCCGCACCAGATGAAGTCTATTGATGCTCATCTCCGGACAGCTATGGGCGCCCTCGAAACTCTACGTCAACATTCTAATATTTCTACCATGATAACACAAACTACAAATCTTCAATTGCTTCATTTCAAGACCTTTCATAAGAATATTGTTGCAGCTGGATGCTCTATTCCATCATCTCAAGATGACATTGCTAAGAAGGCGCATTCTCAAATATGACGAAAGTGATGATTATTTAATTTTGCTGGTTTTATTTTTATTTATGTTTTAATCAAAGGTTAATACCATTATTTCTCACCTTTTATCTAAGATTGTTTATAATTTGATGAATTCAGTGCCTAAACTGAAATGACGAATTTCTTTTTCTGAGTATTTGCATGCAGCGGAAACTTCTGCTCAAGCTTTATCTAATGACAAAGACAAACTAATTGAAAGTGTAGTTGATACAGGGTTAGGGCATGTGGATGCACAGCATCTGCCTGTGAAAATTCTTCTTGAAGCCTTACAAATAGCCAATACGAGTTCCCATTTAACTCCTATTTTCACAGAACATGGGGTCGAATATTATTACCCTCTGTTAGAGTCAACTCTCATGCACAATGCTATACTTATCCACATCCCCAAGTTAGCGAACCTTTCCCATTGTATTCTAATGACACACTGTTAACTCTGGATAACCCAACTGAAATTTTACTTATAGATGATGACTACACATTATTAGCATTGGATGATCCTTGGGTGTTGTCATAGTGTAAATCATCATATCTACACTTACACGTATGTCCAGTCTATGCATTTGCATTTGTTCCTGCTGCAGAAGGAATACGTGAATTGGCGATCATACAAACCAACGTGCTGAAACAGTGTAACTATACACCAATTTCTAAGAAAACACCGTTTCATGCACATCTACATAATGTGCAATATTTTTTCTTCCCTGAAGAAACTAGTGTCATTTTACTGTGCAGGTTGGTGGTAAACATTAAATTGTAAAAGGTTATTATAAGGCTCCAGACTCTTGCGAAATGACCTTTCGTTCCTTGAAAGCCTTGCCTCCCCATCACCATTTTGATTTGAATTTAAATCTAACTTCAGATTAATATGTCTTTTTAGTGAACTCAATATAGTTTCAGATACCTTAAAGTTTATTTCTTATCTGAAGGAGTCCCATTTTGCCAATTTAGAGGATAACCTGCCATTTTATTTTTCACGGGGATTTGCAATACCTAGTGTAACGTTTCCCACTATTGTATTAATATTGGCAGTGATAGTTTTTGTTTTTTTTATTATAAATCAATATTTTCCATGTTTACTATTGTACATAATATACTCCCCCGTAAGGCACTTCAGACTAGGGCTCCAGTAGCTGCTCAACCCCAGGTTGCAGCTTCTCCAGTTTATTGTCTACACACATATTCATGTAATAAGGGTAGGTATATGTATAATTTTTTTCTGCAAGATTTGTTAATTCCTCTTTGAGCTCGGGAGGTGGTGACCGAGCAATGTATTAGCCCCTGTCTAATAGACAATAGTACTTATATAAATATGGGTTAAATACATCAGTCTTTTTAACTCCATCACCCATGGTAATTTTCCCTGATTAAGTGAACTTTATACTGACCATGTGATCAGTAATTTTCCACTGGCAAGTAGCGTCTCCAAAGATGCTAGGTCAGCTTCTTTAGAGCCGGCCTTCTCGCCACTTATCACTCAACTCACACAAAGGATAGATGTTGACCTACAAGCTATTCCACATAAGCTTCCGTCTATCCAGAACATTCACAGCTTATAGTGTTAATTACGGTGATATCCTTCTTGACTGTGGATAGTTTAATCTTCTAAATAAATGGAAAAAAAGGCAATCTGGGTTTGCAAACTTAACCCATAAACTTATAAAATGTGACGACTAAGTTACCTCTCATCAGCCAAACTCAGGTAACTGGAAGTAGCTACAAATGTCTGTGCGTAGTTTTAAAGTTGCCGGCATTTTCGCAGCTGGGACACTGAGCCATTTGTTCTAGAGACGGTAATTTCCTTTACTTGTATAATAAAACCTCGATAAATCGGACTTCAATAAAATAAATAAATAAATAAAAGGTCTAATCAGATTTGTTATAGGCCTACTGATTTAGACAATGATATAATATGCTCCCAGATAAACATTCCTACACTTATTTCTTCATATTTTCATCTTTATAGTGCTGTACCGTATACAGTTTTCTCTTTATTCATAAGACAAATTCTTTGGTTACTTACATAATTATAACATTTTACAGTAAATAACAATCATCTCGGTAACAACCAGACTTACATGTCTGATTTTCAACCCAGAGAGTTGTTTCATATTTTTTTTTTATTGATGTAATATTCTTTTAATAACCTTGTTATACACTTAAAGACCTTAGTTGTTGAAGTGCAGTAATAACATAACTGATTTTCTTTAAACAGTTTAGATAAGCAGTGTTTTCTCCAACCCCACCACACCCCATATATTTGCTTTTCTCGGACTTTTGCATTTTTCGGACTGGGGTCTGCCCCAATTAGTCCAATTCATCGAGGTTCTATTGTATTGTAAATATGTGTGAACACACACATTAAAATACAGATAATAATAATCCCTTCATTAATAATCAGAAATAATTTATTAAAAATGTAGCCCCTCAAGTCCGTGCTTTATTAATGAAGTAATATAGCACGGACTTGAGGATATACTCACATTTTTAATAAATTAGTTTCTGATTATTTATGAGAGGATTTTCCAATTATTATTTAATTGTATGTGTGTTGTGTGTGTGTGTGTGTCTACACACCCTACATACGTGTATACAATAGAGGTAAAAGAAATAATTGTCCTAAGGGCAAACATATAAAGAGAATATAAATTTCTTTGTACACAAGTAAAAATGTCCCCCCCCCCCCTCACTCCCCTCGGTCCGCAAATGTTATTCGCGGATTTGGCGATTCGCGGCCATTTTGAGAACCTAACCCCTTCGAATTTGGGGGGCCCCTCGTACTGTATATTGTTTAAAGATGTGGAATTGGTTATATATCTTCATCATGCTAATTGAGTGGGGTAATAATATAGTAATGTTATCTGTATTATATGTCGTCTGCTTGGAGTCTGTCTTTATATGTCTGCCATAAAACTTTGATCTACCATATTCATGAAAGCAGCTGTGCATTTAAGGACAAAAGGTCAGAATTCAACATCACAGCTTGAAGGTGAACGACTTTGTCTTGGTTGACACTTTCCTTGAGTGCTTCATTTTATTTTCCAG